CCCAGGTCAGCGCCGCCAGCGCCCTTCGGCCGCCGGCCGCAGGCGTCAGGATGTCCGAGAACCAGCCGAACGCCAACAACCACCACCCGGCCAACAACAACGGGGGCGGCGGGGCTGCCGCGGGCAACAACCGGGGCGTCCGCAATCCCAACCTCAACCAGAACCCCTTGATCAATGTGCGTGATCGCCTCTTCCACGCGCTCTTCTTCAAGATGGCAGTGACCTACGCTCGCCTCTTCCCACCTTCCTTCCGCCGCGTCTTCGAGTTCTTCGTCCTCCTCAAGGTGAGGGGCAGCGTTACGGGGAGGAGTGGACACTTCTTAGCCTGTGCTTGGGCCCTAAGGCATAAATTTCCTTATAAACTCAAAAAAGCTTGGCTCTGCCAAAGGTCACAGCCAGCGTTTGGGCTGCCCACAGTGAGCTCTTTGGTGAGAAAGACGTGGAGAGTCGTAACGATCTCGTGGTGGTCCCCACACCAGGTTTGGAAATGAAAAGGAGATTACAGAGCCAGCTCGGTGGGCAGCCAGGCTGGGGTGGGTCAGGTCTGAGGATGTGGGCATGGAAGACTTTTGTTTCCAAGCAATCACTCTTTTTTTGGGTACGTTGCATACCTAAGGTATTTGATTGTTGGTGTTTTGTTGGAGCCTTTCTCTAGTGCACAGCCCCATTTTAACCCTACTTCTTTTTAGTGGTTGGCACCCCCAGCTGGGCGGCGCAGGGTCACACCTCGCTCTCAGGAGGCGAAACCCGCCCGCTTTCTCGTTGGTGCGGGTGCAGGATCGGAGACCCCCAGGGGGGCCTGTCAGTGTCCGCCGGGTGAACTGCCCGTAGGTTAAATCCTGCTCCGGGGCGCACGGGGACACATCCCACCAGCGCCAGCCTGGGAAATTAGTCAGGGGAAGTGGGGAGAGGAGCTTGCCAGGTCACAACAGCACACTTCTGCTCTGGGTTTCTAAAATTCATCTGCTTAAAGCAAGAGAACATTTAGGACAGCTTGCCTCATATACATTTTCTCCTCTCCCAGGAAGCGTTCAGGGTTTTAAGATTTTAATATATCTCTTTCCTCCTCGTTCCGTTGTATAACTGTGTTCAGGCAGACAGGGGGAGTGCCCAGGGATGGTGCTAACGGCGAGGCTGTCGGGTGGTGGCAGGTCTCGCTGCTGTCTGCTCTTGATCAAAGCACTCCCAAGGAAGCGAGAGGCCTCCCAGGGTGCCTGTGGAGAGCGGCCCGCACGGTCAGGAGCCAGCTGGCCTCCAGCCTGGTCTCAGCTCTGTGCGCAGGGCGCTGCGGGGGGTGAAGTCCGAGACTGTGGTCCTGCGCGTGGCTGTTCACGGGGCCCTGAAACGGCTCGTGGCTTTGCCAGCTTCATGGCGGCTCCTCCTGCGATGAGGGAGGTGGTGCTGATTTACCTTCCCTGGCGTCTTCCCGTGCAGCTCCTCTGCAGATGAGATGTTTACCAGGGTGTTTGTTCACAGCAAATAGGTCAGGAACGGTGCGTGGGGGGACAGGTGCTTCATGAGGAGCGAGCGTCTTCGCGCGGTGGGAAAGGCGGCGCCGGAGGCTCCGCTGTGCCGCTGGCTGCGCCGGCGTTGCTCGGGGCGTTCAGCTGTGGACTTTGGACGGTGTTGGGCACCGCGGTGCCAGGTTTGCTATCTTTGCTCTAGGGAACGGATTTTATGAGTCCACTTTGTTCTGCTGTGGCTTTAGAGCTGCTCCTTGGGGTGAGCCGGGGCGAGGGAGCGGTGACGCTCCCTGAGCCCAGCCCCTCAGGCCAGCTCAGCCTCTGCCCTGGCAGAGTCCACACCTCCCAGCGGCGAGCGGTGGGTCTGAACCTGGAGCTGGGGGTTCTGCCGTGGGTTTGGGTTGTCCTGCCTTGTGGCAGGTTGTCTTTTGTTGAGG